AAAAAAAAAAAAAAGAAAAAGAAAAAGAGAAAGAAACCCCATCTCTACTAAACACACAAAAATTAGCCAGGCGTGGTGGTGGATGCCTGTAATCCCAGCTACTTAGGCTGAGGCAAGAGAGCTGTTTAAACCCAGGAGGCGGAGGTTGCAGTGAGCCAAGACTGCGCCACCTGCACTCCAGCCTGGGTGACAGAGCAAGACTTCATCTCCAAAAATAAATAAATAAATAAAAGAAGAACACAACATTCATAGGGCATGATGTCCATCCTTCCAATCCTGATCCTCTCCTCCAACAAACATTAGCCACAGTGCTTACAAGAGGAAAGTTTACTGGGCTAGAAAAACATCTTTCTGTTGCCTAGAAAGCTGTTGGTTAGACCTGGTGCACCTCTCCACTTCTCTCTCCAAAAAAAGACTGTACTTCTTATCATTCAAGCCCCAATGATATTCACAACTTTAAAAATCCCACTCCTAACAATCTTGCCAACTGTATCTCCTCTTCCCCATCATATACCTTACCCTCCAGGGAACCATAACTAGAGAAAATGGTTTTCCAGAAATCTAAATATTAGAGGCCAAAAACCAACCATGCTAAAATCAGCCAGGCGCAGTGGCTCACGCCTGTAATCCCAGCACTTTGGGAGGCCGAAATGGGAGGATTGCTTGAGAAAAGGAGTTTGAGACCAGCCTGATCAACACAGCGAGACCCCATCTGTATTCTTTAAAACAATATTGAAAAATTTAAGAAAAAAGAACTCTGCTAAAATATTTTTAAACATCAGAGTCTCACTCTATTGCCCAGGCTAGCGTGCAATGGTACGATCTCAACTCACAGCAACCTCCACCTCCCAGATCCAAGCAATTCTCCTGCCTCAGCCTCCAGAGTAGCTGGGATTACACAGGTGCCCGCCACCACACCCAGCTAATTTTTGTATTTTCAGTAGAGACGGGGTTTCACCATATTGGCCAGGCTGGTCTTGAACTCCTGACCTCAAGTGATCCACCTGCCTCAGCCTCCGAAAATGCTGGGATTACAGGCATGAGCCACTGTGCCCAGCACATCACCCAATTTTTAAATCATTACTTGGTATAGGGTGCACAGCAGTGGTGTGCCCAGTAGGTAACCTAACAATAGCATAAACTGAGCAATATAAACAGGGTAGTACAAACTACAAAAGACTAGCTCTATGACAAGGTAAAAATTATAGCTAATTACATGTTTTGGCAGGTGACAGCTATTGTAAAGTGTTAAATTCAATCATGTCTAATGCCTATCAAAATGTGTTTGGATCATCTTTCTTTTGTAGATTTAAGATATTCAAAATCGGCTATCTGCTCCTCCCGTTTGACAGACAGTCGCATCTTCTCTCACATCACCAGCCGCGTCCCTGAGGCACCATGGTGAAGGTGAAGGTAGGAGTCAACGGATTGGGTCATATTGGGCGCCTGGTCACGAGGGCTGCTTTTAACTTTGGTAAAGTGGATATGGTCGCCATCAATGACCCCTTCATTGACCTCAACTACATGGTCTACATGTTGCCGTATGATTCCACCCATGGCAAATCCCATGGCACCATCAAGGCTGAGAACAGGAAGCCTGTCATTAATGGAAATCCCATCACCATCCTCCAGGAGCGAGATCCTTCCAAAATAAAGTGGGGCGATGCTGGCGCTGAGTACATTGTGGAGTCCACCGGTGTCTTCACCCCCATGGAGAAGGCTGGGGCTCACTTGCAGGAAGCAGTCAAAAGGGTTATCATCTCTGCCCCCTCTGCTGACGCCCCCATGTTTGTGATGGGCGTGAACCATGAGAAGTACGACAACAGCCTCAAGATCGTCAGCAATGCCTCCTGCACTAACCGCTTAGCGCCCCTGGTCAAGGTCATCCATGACAACTTCGGTATCGTGGAAGGACTCATGACCACAGTACACGCCATCACTGTCACCCAGAAGACTGTGGATGGCCCCTCCAGAAACTGTGGCGTGACAGCTGCAGGGCTCTCCAGAACATCATCCCTGGCTCTACTGGCGCTGCCGAGGCTGTGAGCAAGGTCATCCCTGAGCTGAATGGGAAGCTCACTGGCATGGCCTTCCATGTCCCCACTGCCAACGTGTCAGTCATGGACGTGACTTGCCATCTGGAAAAACCTGCCAGATATGATGACATCAAGAAGGTGTGAAGCAGGCATTGGAGGGGGCCCCCTCAAGGGCATCCTGGGCTACACTGAGCACCAGGTGGTTTCCTCTGACTTCAACAGCAACACTCACTCTTCCACCTTCAATGCTGAGGCTGGCACTTTGTCAAGCTCATTTCCTGGTATGACAGTGAATCTGGCTACAGCAACAGGGTGGTGGACTTCATGGCCCACATGGCCTCTAAGAAGTAAGACCCCGGACCACCAGCTCCAGTGAGAGAACAAGAGGAAAAGAGAGGCCCTCAATGCTGGGGAGTCCCTGCCATACTCAGTCCCCAACCACACTGAGAATCTCCCCTCCTCAGTTTCCATGCAGACCCCCTGAAGAGGGAGGGGCCTAGGGAGCTCTGCCTTGTCGTGTGCCATTAATAAAGTCCCCTGTGCTCAGCCAAAAAAAAAAGATACTCAAAATTCCAGAAATAGCACTTCATTAGGCCAGAACAGTACAAGTCCTGGATATTTTGCTTTTTTGGTAAACAATCTACTACTATATTTGTTTCTCCCTAAACACACTATTTATCCCCAGTCCTGCTGGTAAGTTTTTTTTTTTCCTTTTCAGATAGGGTTTCACTCTGTCGCCCAGCCTAGAGTACAAGGGGTGTGATCTCAGCTCACTGCAGCCTCAACCTCCTGGGCTCAAGTGATCCTCCCACCTCAGTCTCCCAAGTAGCTGGGACTACAAGCGTATGCCACCATGCCCAGCTAACTTTTTGTAGTTTTTGTACATAAAAGGTTTTGCTATATTGCCCAGGCTGGTCTCAAATTCCTGGGCTTACGCAATTCGCCCACCTGGTCCTCCCAAAGTGCTGGGATTCCAGGCATGAGCCACTGCACCCAGCCTTCCATAAGCTCTTCTTGAAAGCTTGTTTGGAGGTTCCAGCAGGGGAGTACAGCCACACATATACCCTTGACTGAAGACCAGTCCTCCTCTATCGGGATGGTCATCCTCTTTGATCAAGGGTGCAGCTTCAGGAGGGACATACATGGAGTGGAGTGGGAGGAAGGGGACACCCACCTAGCCAGCCAGATTAGCCAAATCAACCCTGGTGATCAATGGGGTGACAGATGTCCCAGCCAGATCACACTCACATCCAATTTTTTTTTTTTTTTTTGAGACAGGGTGTCACTCTAGTTGCCCAGGCAGGAATGCAGTGGCACAATCTCGACTCACTGCAACCTCCAAACAGGCTCTTCTTAAACATCACCTTCTCTATGATGTCTTTCCAGTTCTGGTGAAGCATTAATTTTTTTCCTGCTCAAACTCTAAGAGATCTTGTATGTACAGTCTTTACTGCATTTACACAGTTCTGTAACTGTCTGGTGATGGAATTAAATATGTACAAGATGACCTTGATATATCCTAGGAAGAAACATATTTTAGCAACAAAGATCAGAACTCAAGGTATTATTTTTAACAGAAAATATTAATGTAAGAAGAAAAAACTTGAAATCAATACGTAGTTCAAATAAAATTCTGATTAGATGAGAATGAAGACACACTTTCTAAGCAACAAGTTACTATTTCTTTTTTTTTTTTTTTCTGAGATGGAGTTTTTGTTCTGTTGCCCAGGCTGGAGTGCAACGGAGCAATCTCAGCTCACTGCAACCTCCGCCTCCCAGTTTCAAGCAATTCTTCTGCCTTAGTCTCCTGAGTAGCTGGGAATACAGGTGCATGCCACCACAACCGGCTAATTTTGGTATTTTTAGTAGAGATGGGGTTTCACCATACTGGCCAGGCTAGTCTCAAACTATTGACCTCATGATCCACCTGCCTCGGCCTCTCAAAGTGTTGGGATTACAGGTGTGAGCCACCGTGCCCGGCCCAATCCTGTGATAATTTTCTAAATGTGACTCTGGTTACTTACCCTCCCCTCTAATTCGCACTGCACACTGCCAAACATTTTTTTTTTCTGAATAAATATTTGGCATCTCTACCTCACTCAAATCCTCCAAAAAGTTTGTTACTTCCTTGTAAACTAAAGTTAGAACATTTCCGTTTCATGATATGACAATCTGAGTATATGGTCCCAACCTTTATCTACACAGATCTTCTGCTCTAGGTTCTCCCTGTTTTCCACGACACGCCATGCTGATTATGTATTTTGAGTCTTGCATTTCTGTTCCATTCCCCATGGTATACGCTATGTCCACCCACCCAAACCCTGTAAGGCGTAAACACTGAGCATTTACCATGCTCCTAGAACAATGGCACCATCTCAAGTCACACCATTTTTTCAAGCTTTTTCCTTCAGTCTGCAAGGGCCATCTCCTCCTTAGTGACTCTCCTCCAATTAACAAGCTGCTGGAGAGAGAAATGCCTATTTAATTCATCCTTTTAAGTCACACTGAGCTTGGAAATAAGTCAAATCAGTGCCACAGATTAAGGTGAGAGTTAAAGAATGAGAGGTCATGCATTTATTCATCACCTTTTTGTTGAGTAATTACCTCGTGCCAAACACTATTCTGGGTATGACAGGCAAAGATCCAGTCTCATGGAATGTGATTTTTGTGTGTTGGAAAGACGGAGGTAACCAACTTTGAACATATTAACACAAAATCACTCTACACTGTGAAAAGTGCTTTGAAGAATGTAACGGCCGGGCGCGGTGGCTCACGCCTGTAATCCCAGCACTTTGGGAGGCCAAGGCGGGCGGATCACGAGGTCAGGAGATCGAGACCATCCTGGCTAACACGGTGAAACCCTGTCTCTACTAAAAATACAAAAAATTAGCCGGGCGTGGGGGCCAGTGCCTGTAGTCCCAGTTATTCGGGAGGCTAAGAGAGGAGAATGGCGTGAACCTGGGAGGCGGAGCTTGCAGTGAGCCAAGATCGCACTACTGCACTCCAGACTGGGCGACAGAGCAAGACTCTGATTCAAAAAAAAAAAAAAAGAAAAGAAAAGAAAAGAAAGAATGTAATACGGATCTGTCGTGTTAGCAAATGATCATAAGGGAGCTATTTTTAAGAAGGCTTACAAGAAAGACCTCTTAGATTTAATTGACGAGAACTCAGCCATATGATAAATCAGTTAAAGCATTAAGAAACCGAAAGTCCTTACATTTTAAGTCTCAACGACTTTCAGGATCACATTTTGAATTTGCTTAAGTATTATGAAACTCCCCTAGGAGAAAACACTCCCCAACATGAAACAGTAAAGCACAAATAGTGCCCGCTGTGAGCTAACCAAAATTGCTGTCTTTACATAAAACATTTATTGACGGCCAGTTTCATCAGACCCAAATGTGTTCTGAAAGAATACTCCAGTCCAATGACCTCTCCTGACCTCTCCTTCTGTTTGTTCGGGGCTCTTTCGCCTCTTTTGAGAGCTTCATTAAGGACCATCAACCTAAGAGAACACTTTAAGAGTACGCAGGGACCAGTTCTAGTTTCTCGCCGAAAAAACTGTACAGAAAGCAGACATTCAACTACCTCACACAGGCTCATGGCTAAAACCAGTTTCACCAAGGGAAAGATACAAGGAATTCTTCGGTCTGGGACAAAATGCACCGCCCAAGTCTAGGAACACCAAGACAGGGCTCCAGGAAAGCCGTGAGAAAGAGATCTAGTCCAGGCTGATTCAGACCAGTAACCGGCTGAAAGACACTTTGCGTCCCTAAACTAATCTCCTCATCTGCAAACAGATACAACAATGACTCCTGCCTCTCAAAATATGTGAAGCTCTAACGAGATAGCCGTAAAAGAACTTTAAGAGGTGCACGGAGCGGGATGGGCTCAAGTTACTTAAATTATACTTGTGTTAGGAGGAGCGCAAGTGGGAGACTCGTGAACATTACCTTGACTAGCCACACTCCTGTGTTCTGTTTGGCGCCGGTCAGGTCGAGTTCCCCGCGCTCGGCCATGGGTCTGTTGCCGGTGGACGCGTGTGGCCTACAGCAGCGACACCAGGAGCCGGAGGGCTGAGAAGTGGGCGTCCGGAACAAAGGGCAAGCCGCGCTGAGAGGTGAAGAGCCGGCGTTCCTTACCTGCCAGGACACTGGAAACCTGGGGGAAAGAGGAACACGCCGCCGGGAGCCGAGACTGCGCCTGCGCACTGTACGTCCGTACGGCGCGCTGTTGCAGACAAACTTTCTGTTTCGGAAATTCCTTGGGTGGGCGTGGCTGTCAGCGTAGTGTGTATCTGAAGGATTAAAACATAGTGTGAGATGAGCCAAAACGTTAGCAACGTATTTAAAGACATGGCCAGCATAACTGAAGAAAAAGATTATCAGAACGGGAAAACGGGGTTCAAAGAGACAAAAGTTGTCAGAACGTGTCCAACCCTGGCCAAAGAGAGAGAAAGAATATTTGAAGGACAGGCTTAGGTTAGTAAATTGGCATCCCCCCTGGCCAACGTCATTAGCACAAGTGGGCACTGGGATCAGACTTGGTAGCCCTGGGTATATTGAAAACATGCCGTTTCTAGACCTGAAAAGAAAGCCGTGTTTCAGCTCAGAGGCTGCCCGAACTCCTCTGATTAAGCAAGCAGAGCACCTCATATTCCAAAACCCGAAGGTCTGTGACGAAACGAACAAGTAAGAGACAAAACTGATCGTTTCCTCCCCTGCTTAAAGTTTTCTCTTTCTCTTCTTGCCTCTAGAATAAAATTCAATCCTCCTGCTTCAACTGGGCCCTCTCAATTTCATCCGTTTTCCCCTCCCACCATTACTCCACCATGCACCGAACCACACCAAACCCAGCAGACTTCCCGGAACACGTCAGAATCTTCCTCGGTCATTTCAGAGCCTCTGCACACTGGATTCCCTTCCTTGGAAGCCCTCTTTTACCCCTGCCCTCACTCCCACCCTTTCCTCTGGTTGGCAAACTCCTACTTATGGTTCAAGATCAATGGAAATGTCACTTCCTATGAGCTCTTTTATCAACTTCCCCAGAAGAAATTAGTTTTTCTTCACATCACAGTGTGATACTTAGCACTCTGCACTATAATACATATGTTTACATATCTGCCTTTGCTTTCCAGACAACGAACTCCTCCTAGGCAGAAAGAGCTTTATTGAGGTATCATTTACAAATAAAAAATAGTGCTTTATTCATGTTATATCCACAACGTATAGCACAGTGTTTGACACATTGTCAGGTTTCAGTAGGCTTTGGGTGAAAGAACATTCGCTGAAGAGAAACAAACAGTAAGGTATTGTTAAGAAAGGCAAGTAATGTATTGAATCACACATTAGAGCCTTGCACAAAATTGAGGAAATTTTATGTGTGTTCAGCACAGGGCCAGGAAAAGCTGTCAGAACTCTGCGATTAGCTAGCAAAATTAACAGGAAAGATGGGAAGAGACCTGGAGTGTGTCGAAAATGAAAGTTTCAGTGGCTCGACCCTGTAACCCCACCTTTGGGAGGCTGAGGTGGGAGGATTGTGTGTGCCCAGGAGTTCAAGGCTACAGTGAGTCATGATCGTGCCTTGCACTCCAGCTTGGGTGACAGAGCAAGGCCCTGTCTCTGAAAAATAAATACTAAAACCAAAATTTTTTTTGGCCAGGCACAGTGGCTCACGCCTGTAATCCCAACACTTTGGGAGACCGAGATGGGAAGATCACTTGAGGGTAGGAGTTCAAGACCAGCCTGGTTAACATAGCGAGACCCCCATTTCTAAAAAGAAGAAAAAGAAAAAAAAAATTTTAAGCAGAAAATGAAGGTTTCTTCTTGTGCAACAACTTGGAAAAGGGCCTAAAACATATAAAGGGTAAGCAGATGAAGGGAACTGCTCTAAGCTTTACTCAAGTAGAAGGAATAAATTGAAATATGAGACCATGGGAGAAGAGAAGCAAAGTCTAGAGCACCCCAGGAATGAACTTTAAAGATTGGAGCCTTGGCCTTGGTCTCTGGGTCATGGGAGGCCTTAAAATGTGTATGTGGTGTGTGTATGTGTGTGTGCACAGAGATTGGGAGAGAAAAAATGGTTGATGAAAAGGCTAGAGAAGAAAGGAAAAGTGGAGATTTAAAAATGATTATATAGAAGAAAGAAAAAAACAACTTATTGAGCACCTCTTCCTCATACACTGTTGAACAAAGAGCAAGCTTCCCCTACTGTCCTTTTCAAACAGCTTGAAGAGGGATGTTTACAGAACCGTGAGAGAAAAGGAGGGCATGGCCTCTGTAAAGTAAATTCACAGATTTACTGTGGAGGCCCTTAGGGTGATAGATATTACAGCCAGATCCCTCACCTTCCTAAGGACTCATTATATGCCAGATGCTTGGCTAGTTGTTTTTTGTATTATCCCATTTAATCCTTATAACAATTTGCCAGAGTAGATATTATTTTTCCTCAATATAGCCGTATATGTCATTAAACATGTCAACATCCAAGAGCTGAGAACACATCCCAGGATGGGGCTCACAGAGCGTAGGATGAAGAGGCCAGTGCCCTAAAAAAGGTAACACCAGAATTTTTTCCTCCCTCAGATGATTGGTCAAGTTGTTATCAAAATTTTTAAGGCACAAATGCAATTCTAGGAAGGAGGGCCCAAGAACTCATTGCTGGCTACAATTTTTCCAAAAAGTCTAGTAGTGCTTAGGCCAACTTGAAGCTCCATCCTTATCTAGGGCTTAGATTCTAGGTCAGACGTCAAGGCCACCCAACCTTCTTTGCTGCTTTGTTTTTGTTTTTGTTTTTAGACAGAGTCTTGCTCTGTCACCCAGGCTGGAATATGCAGTGGCATGATCACAGCTCACTACAGCCTCGACCTTTCAGGCTCAAGCTGTCCTCCCACCTCAGCCTTCCAAGTAGCTGGGACTACAGGTGCACGCCATCACACCTAGCTAATTTTTGTCTTTTTTGTAGAGATGGGGTTTCACTGCATTGCCCAAGCAATCCACCCACCTCGGCCTCCCAAAATGCTGGGATTACAGGCATGAGCCACCGTGCCCAGCCCCAACCTGCTTAATAGGCAGAACTACATTCTTTTTTGTGGGTCTTCTAGACTAGGTGCAGCAGGAAAACCCCTAACACCACACCCACCACCAAACATGCTTCAACCTAGATGAGTGTTCTCAGCCTCTGGTTCCTGTACAAGTTGCATTAGAATTCCCTGGGGGAAATGTGTTTTAAAATGAAGACACCTGAGCCCCAATCCAGGCAAACAAAATTAGACTTTCTGGAGGTGAGTCTAGAAACTGACATTTGTAGCAAGCTCCCAGAGTGTTTCCTAGGCACACCAAAATCTGAGAATCGTTGTTCTAAATGATAGAATTCTAATAGATAGAATTCTAATTGATATTTTTCTGATCAATATAGGTCATTAGAACGGGGCCAGTTTCCAAAGTCTGAGACGTGTGAAAAAGTTTACCAGAAATTCTAGCTAGAATTCCCTCATGCCTTGTTAATTCAGAACACCACAATTCTGTCAGGTAGCCATTAAGCAGCAAAACCATTAGGCGAGATGTTACAAGTGAGTTGAGGGAATTAGAATGACTTTAACAGATAGCTGAGCTCACTTTCAGATTTTGTCCTTGTCTATCATGCACAAGCCTAATTTCTCCAGGCCAGAGATTTTCTTTGTTCACATTCACTCAGAAACATTCTAGCAAGAGAAAGTATTATCTCCAGGGGAGTTCATATAGGCAAAAAATGCTACGACCAAGACTTTCTTAATAAACCAGACTCATTACCTATTGGTTACTAACATAAACATTGTCATTCAAAAATTACAAATGAATATGGCATTGTGGTAATTCATTCAATTTCCCTGACATTAGTGATGTAGTAGGTTGATAATTTTGCTTCAATATGACACCAAGGCTATAAAACTCCTTCTCTGAATTCTCTCTGCCTAAATTCCTGGGAGATCCCTTGTTTCTCCAGTTATACACAAGCAAAAAGAAATACTTCCTAAAATAGTTTCCATATTGTTTAGTATAGAAAGAGAGTATGAGCTTTGGAGTCAAACTTTTCACTTTTTTTTTTTGCTTTGTCACCCAGGCTGGAGTGTAGTGGCACTATCTTGGCTCACTGCAACCTCCAGTGATTCTCGTGCCTCAGCCTCTGAAGTAGCTGGAACTACAGGCACGTACCACCATGCCCAGCTAACTTTTGTATTTTTAGTAGAGATGGAATTTTACCATGTTGGCCAGGCTGGTCTCGAACTCCTGACCTCAGGTGATCTGCCCACCTCTGCCTCCCAAAGTGCTGGGATTACAGGCGTGAGCCACTGTGCCTGGCCAGTCAAACATATTTCAAGTGATACTTCTGCTGTGTACCAGCCTAATTATGTTAATCTCTCTGCACCTGTTTCCTTGCTTATATAATGGAATTATTATACTCTGTAGAGTTATGATGTGACTAAACGAGAAAACATATTAAAAGAATTTAACATTATGATGTGGAAATTATTTTGTAACTGCATTAATTATATTGCAATTATATATATTGCAATAAATATACATAATTGAAAGGAAACACAAAAGATTTATTATAGGCAGCAGTATACTGGTAAATGTTTAACAGCTGGGCTCCCTAAACTCCCCTACCCGCAGGAAAGCCCTGATTTGTAGTGTTTACCAATTTCCATGGTGCAAGTACTTCTACAATAGCTGATTTCAAGCTGCCAAGAAGAGATCACTGAAGGCAACGTTGGAAGAGATGCACTGTACATCGTATAGTATATAAACTCTATAGGCTGGGCACAGTGGCTGAGGCCTATAATTCCAGCACTTTGGGAGACCAAGGCAGGTGGATCACTTGAGTCCAGGAGTTTGAGATCAGCCCTACCAAAATGAAGAAACCCCGTCTCTACTAAAAATACAAAAATTAGCTGGACGTGGTAGTACACCCCTGTAATACCAGCTACTCGGGAGGCTGAGACACAAGAATCGCTTGAACCCAGGAGGTAGAGGTTGCAGTGAGCCAAGATCATGCCACTGCACTCCAGCCTGGGTGACAGGGCGAGACTAAGTTTCAATAAATAAATAAAATATACTGTATAGTATTGTAATACGTTGTGTAGTATTTTCACTAGATAGATACTTAAATATAACTTTAAGAGCATGGATAATAATAAAATACAGAAAAATAATTAGGAAGTGATGA